AAGTACTTAAAGTTGGGTATAAACAGAAAGAAAATCAAAACATTTCTTCAATGATTTTATTTAGTCAGTTACTGCAGTTAAAACTCTGTCTATTAACTAAACCAAATGTCAACATATAGATTGTTATCTGGAACAAGGTGTAAGCATCTGTTTGACATTTCAAAAATTGCACTTCACTGCACGACATTGATACTTCATACATAGAAAATCAACATATTGCAAAGACCAGCTCAGATACACATGCAAGACTGCATGTTAAGCATACCAGAAACAATAGTGATCCCTATATGTCACAGTCTTATCCAAATTTCTGATTATGTTGTGTTTTCGGTTTTGGATTATTGAGCAGATTTTTCCTGTTACTTTATGATTTGCAGGGCGGGTTGCATTCATCGTTCCAACACCACTGCTGCTGATTTTAAACCAAAACTAAGGTCAGTACACTTAACTCCACATATTTGTACTGTACAAAATGATCAATATGTCACATGAGTACAGATGTATCAAACGGACTGTGAACTCAGTGTAGGACAAAGATGTGAAAGATGTGATTTGAATGGGATAACTCACGAACACTGCAAGGGAATTTCTTCAAATTTGGCACAAATTTTGACTTGAACTCTAGGGTGTACAGTTTAGATTTTGGGAGTCAAAGGTCACTGTGACCTCAAGTCCATCCCATTCTTGTGAATGCAATATCTGAGAAATGCCTTGAGGGAATTTCTTCAAATTTGGCACAAACACCCACTTAGACTCAAGGATAAAACAAAACAATTTTTTTTGCAGTAACTCAAGGAAATTGATGAGAATATTTCACAATTGGCTTGATGATAAATCTGTGATACTTTTGACTTAAAGGTCGAAGGTCCACAAAGAATAACAAAGAATGTGATAACATTTTGTATTGAAATATATACTATAATGTCAAATGTCAGCTTGACCGTGACATCATAATGTCCTGTCCTTTTCATTTTTCCATCACATCCATTCTGCCTTTCACTTCCTGCATCATTTGGAATTTCAAGCATCATTGGAATTACATGACTGCAAACAATGTATTGGAGCACGCCTAGCTAATGGTGGTCCTGTGAGTGAGTGAGTGAGTGGCGTCACATCTAAAAATGCTAGGAGAAAACAACAGCACCACATTTTACATAGCTATAGTCTATAAGAATCAGTCTCTACATAGTAATCAAGTTCATGCATCCTTGTTTAGCCAATTCATCCAGTGCCTGAAATGGCCAGTACTCACCAGTACTGAGTACCAGCACTTCTGCCCTTACTTCTTATTGAGTTCTACCACCTCTGGTGAACACAGACGTACCCTTTTTACAAGGGGTAAAAGCCATACAATAATTGTGTTTTTATTTTTAAAACCCTGCATACAGCATTCCTGGTGTGGTACTAAACAACTGTGTAACTGTTTCTTTGTGTAAACCCGTAGCTAGCTTAACGCTAAGAAAAAAGCACTAAAAAATGCCCTAGTTAAAAAGGGAAAATGACAAAAGATTTAGGGTTAGGGTTATGTTGTGTTTAGAGTTAGGATTGTGCTTAATTAGGGTACTGGCAGCATTTTTGGTGTAATTCAGGCACTGAATACATCTATTATAATCCTTCATTAATTAGTTCAAAAATGTACATTCACTGTATACATATGTACCATCAATATAGTGATAACTTCGATTTAACCAAAAAGTACACTTTATACCTTTTATGTGATTGCTTCCAAACATTCACCACACATATGAGTCTGAACAGACATGGATGTAAACTGCAACTTGACTAGTTGGCGGAGGCATAGAACTAAAGGGTGGTAATTCTCGTTCACTAATATATTTGATCACATACACATACAGTTTCTACTGTATATACTGCTTAAAAGTTCACTAAAGATACAAGAAGCAGCTTTTTCAGTATGGACCTTTGGCAGCTTCGTCACTGATGGCTGCTCTCCTCTCATCACTAACCTGTAACATTACTCAGACTACCACATAGAGGCCAAGGTGTCAGAAAGCTGCCACAAGAAAGTTGATGTGACTCTGTTGATGTGTGAGTTTGTTTTGTACTTTGAGTTTTCATTAACAACTCTTACACAAAGCACTTCTTCTTTTGTCAGTTTGGGTCGCCATGTTACATCCTGCTTCTCATTAAAACATACCGATACACTCATTAAAGCAAAGCAGTACTCTGTTCATTAAAACACTACTGCAATGACAAAGTGTGTGTTGTGTGTGGTGTGTAAATGCAAAATAAGATCCAAACCAAAGCCTACCACAGACAAGTATAGGAGGCCGACAGATTTTTTATTTTCAATGCCTCTCATCAATTTGAATCTCTCGTTTATTTATAATGGCCAGTTGTTCTAACATTTGTATTCAAAATACAACAAAGATAATATTGTACATACTTTTTTACTGTAGAATTGTTTTCTTGACATCTCATTCTCTTATCTAAACCACCAGTCCCTTTATTCATCAGTATTATTATTGTTGTTGTTGTTGTTATTGTTATTATTATTATTATTATTATTATTATTATTATTATTATCCCTCTGCTACAGATCAA